CATCTTAATTAAATACCGATCACTCAAATCGATAAATAACCAAGAATCCTCTCCAGTGGAGTCGCCAAGTTGTAGGCGTCATTCGAAGTGCGCCTACGTCAAAGCATGTGTGAATATGCTTGGTACTCATAGGAAGTGGGAATTGACATTATACGATTAGGGACAAGGAAAGTAGGGAGTCGACAACAAGTTTTTAAGGAACTTGTAAACCGTTCATGGATCATAAAAGGCAACCACGAATAAGGGACAAAGATAGGCAACAATGATTGACCCGTGAAGGTTACACCCCATTCATAATCCATGAGATTACTAACTCCATATGGTTCGGAACCACGAAAGGAGGATCGGGGATGATGGTACGAAGTGAGTCATGGAGTCACATTCGCCCGTATTGGCCTCTATTTGATTCTTATAGTGAAAAGTGATTCCTGCGATCTCAAAGGCATACAAACAAAATATTCAATTTGCTCCAAACTATTATTAAGTTAAATTGGTTGAATATTAATGCAACATATAATTCTAAAATATTAGTGATCACTTGAATTAATAACAAGATTAAAAAGGAACCTAAACCGGTTGTCCAAATTATCTTATTAGGCGTGATTTTCAATTACATATTCCCTTTAACATGCAATATGGTCTACACATTAATATTGGAAGCAATTTAACCATAATTCCAACAATATAAAATCGTTAGAAAAATAATAGAAATAAAAGGAACATAATTCTTACTTTCATTCTATTTGTTTGCAACTACAAAATAATAAACGAGTTAGTAACTTCAAGGAAATAATAATAAAACAATAATTAAATTAAATTAAATAGAATTGATTTGGGGCCAAACCCTCAAACAGTTTTACCTTTCACGCCTTGGCTTAAGGACAGAACCACGAGTAAAGTATGGACTCCTGGGAGTGCTTGAAGAAGGAATTTTGAAAGAAAGAGGGTAGGCTAGTGTTTAGGCTAGAGCATAGAAGAGAGAAAAATATAGAGAGTTAATTGATGCCCCGTACATCAGAAATGAGGGGGTATTTATAGAAAAAATGTGTTGAGGGAACACACGGAACCCTAAAATGATAAAAACCTTAAAAAAGTATCCCGCGACACGGCAAAGTGTACCGTGACACGGGAAATCCCACCATCAGACGGGAAACTTTACCGTGACACAGTACAAATTAGTGTGACGCGGGAAATATTTAGTTAACGAGAGGAGAAAATGCGTTAAGGGTTTACGCGGAAAGGACACGGAAATCTCCGTGTCACGGCAGGTGTCCCATGTCACGAGGAACCCCACCGTCAGACGGGGAAGTTTCCCGTGACACGGTGGACTGTTGCCGTGACGCGGGAGTTTTCAGTCTGCTTTTCCGTCTAAATTCATTTTTAACCCTAATTTCGTTCAGCATTTTAAGTGCCGATTGATAATTTCGAGCCATTTTTTGATTTTATTATTATTTGGGCTAAAATAAAAATTTGGGCTAAAATAAATAATAAAACAATAAAATAAAAAAGGTTTGGGCTGAAATTAAAAAATCCGCTTTGACCAAACATCAAGACTGATCCATGGACTATTCAAAAAATGAATTTAATTAAACACAACTTTTTTTAAGCACTCTCGGGATTAAATACTGAACCCAATCAATAGTGGCGGTGAAAGGTTGTTCATCATCGGGTTTGGTTTTGGGGAGATACTTTTAGGTGTCTACAGAACCGCTTGTCATTTCGTTTTTTCTACTAGTGAACATACCCTATAAACTAGATATAGTGATAATACATGAACATTAATGATTACATAACCAAAAATATATAAAAAAAAAAACCACCAAAATAACAAAATACCTGATTGGAAGCGCTAATTAGATGAATGAAATGAACTGGTTTCATAATTTTGTGACGAATGAAACTCCAGGAGACGAGTGAAACCCCAGAAGACAAGTGAAACCGCAAAAAAATGACGAATTGAACGTAAAATCACTGATTTTGTGATGAATTTCGTGAGACAACAATGAATTAAGGAGGAATTTAAATTAAACTTGAATTGAGAGATTTTTTTTTGTTTTTTTTTTGGACAAAATTTCATTTATTTTCTTCAATTATGGCGTTTTTAGTTGATTAAGGGATTGAGGCCAATATTTTTCTTTTTCTTTTTAATTGCTTTGTCGGTAATACTCAGTTTTTTAAATTAAATTTGGGTATTAAAACTAACATTTACTTTATTATAAATATTTAAATTAATATTTAATTCACCCAAAATAATGTAACATCTCTTAGTGTTACTATAAAATGTTACTAATTTAAAAAGTGTTACTTTAATGTTACTTATGTTAAAAGTGTTACATTGAGTGTTACATTCTAATAAAGTGTTACTTATAAATCTAAAATTTTGTAATTCAAGAAGTGTTACTAATTACATATTACATAAACTCAATTATGTACTAGTGAGGCCTCCTACATAAAATGTCAAAAATTATCTCATGCATTTTTATTAGTAAAGTAGAGTTTGGAGTTTCTACTCTTTAATTATTCAAATTTTTTTTTAATAATCAAAAGCGAATGCTTATATTTTTTTTAAATTTTATTATAACTATAAAGTTAATTAGAATAATTTTTTAGCCCAATTAAGCTAATGAGTTAGAAGTTGGTTTGGTTATATTTAAGTTAGTATTGTATTTATGTTAAGTTTTTTTTCTTTTTTTTTTTTTTTTTTTTTTTGGAGTTTTAGGCTAATTAGCTTAGGTTTCCTAATGTATGTGTATATATTTGTGATTATTATCAATGCAAAGGTTAAGCCGTTTTCCCCCTCCACAATATTCTTGAGTTTAACATAGTATCTGAGCCTCTCTAATTTCTAGAGATTTTTTCGATTGTTTTAATTAATTCCTCAAATTAATTTGTTTGAGAAATTAGTCTTTGATTTTTTTTACCACATATTTTTTTGATTTTTTTAGACGAAATTAGGGTTTCTTCATCCTAATTTTGGTTCGGTTTTTGGTGCATTCCTAAGAGTGTGCTACTTGCGTGATTGTGTGTGGTGCACAATTGCGTTTTATTGTGTTTTGCGGCCATTCCTACGAGTGTGCTACTTGTGCGATTTATTGTATTTTGCTTAAAATATTTATATTACACCCATACAAGTATATATTATTATTATTATTATTATTATTATTATTATTATTATTATTATCATTATCATTATTATTATTATAACGTGCATCGCATAGGATTAACCTAATTATTTTTTAACGTAACTCACACAGTCATGCCCTCTATCTCTCTCTACTTTAAAACAAAAGTACCTACTTTTTCTTGATTTGGGTAGCTAACTGAATAAGACTTGGAAACATAGAGCGAGGTAGTACAAAGCTTTGTTAAGAAAGCAATTTCATTTTTAGTCAAAAGGTTGCAAATTTTGTAAACGTAAGTAATTATTTTTGGTAGAGATGTGCCCAAGCTTGATCGATTAAATTTAGTTATGTTTGGATCCTTTAATTTTTTTTAATCGATGTCCTCCTTAATCATTTGCGTCCTCATAAATAATCATGGTATCTTTGTAAGGGTATATTCACATTTATTCAACTGAGATGAATTGAACTAAACTGATTAGGGCTGAAATGAACTGAACTAAACAGAATAGAGCTGAAGTAAATAGTTTATGAGAGAAGAAAATTAGGACCTGAATTGAATTGAACTGATTAGAGCTGAACTGAAGTGAACTAAAATTTAGATAAAGTGAACAGGCCCTAAGTCCCTTGACTTCCTTATATTATAATTGTCAATCAATGCCTCAAAACCTTTAATTTGTTGATCAAGTACATTGTTCCATTGCTCGTTGATTTAAAAATGCAAACAAGTAAGTAGTAGGCAACTAAAATCTTAGTTTTCTTAAGGGTATCCTTGGGTGACTTGTCTATTACTTCCTCCATAACTTGTTTTACTTTTGACACTATTTATAGGCAGTTTGATTAGCTTTTTAATTTTATAGGTACAATAAAATATAATTATGTGTGATCTTATTTGAATAGACTCAATTTAAATTATTTTGATATCCAACATTTATAATTTTTTTATATATGGATCTTGCTAATGAACGCCTTCGGGGCGTTGGATCGGATAAGCATTTAAAATATTGCCTAAAGTGATATTAATTTGGAAAAGCATGACAAAATCGCACGTCGATCGGTGTAATTAATGTTAATTTTTAATATAATTCTTCTACTTTTTCCTTTATATATTTATGTTTAGAGATATTAATCGTTAAAATTGTACATAACAAAATGTGAATTTAAGAAGCATGTCAACTAAAAGCGAAAGGAGGATTTATGTTTTAGACCTTGCTCACTAGCTCGTATGAGAAGACAAAGAGTCGCATAGCCCAAGCTTAAATTTATTACTCCATCCGTCCCCTTTTGATAGTCTCTTATGGACAAATTTTAGTCCCAAAATGTTCACGTCATTTGCTTTTTCCAACAACTATTAATATTAAATTTTTACTATAATTCCATCCAATTTGCAACAATATTTGTGCAAATTTAACTTTCCCATGTAAATTTTGTTTTCCCATGTACTTTCATTACTTTCTCTCTCTACTTTTTTGCATACCTTAAGTCAATTTACTTTTTCAATGTACTTTAACTATTCTTATTAGTGTTTATTAATTCCCGTGAAAAATGCCCATAAGGGACTATCAAAAGGGGACGGAGGGAGTATGATAGTAGCAACAATTAGTAATTATGTTTTGATAAATGATGTCATGTTTCGTATTTTTAGCCTTACTATTACATTTAAGTGCGCTAATTTAATGTAAGCATGCTTATTTACATGCATCGAATAAACTTAGCCTAATTAGGGGAGCTAAGGTAGTATAAGGATACTCGAAAAGTGGCATGTAAGATCATAGGCTCACTCATTGAGTTTTATTATTAATTTCATGTAAAGATGCAACAAAATTACAAAAAAGAACCAAAATAAAATTGTACAAAACTACATTATGTAAAGAAGGGACAACATTGGACCAGCAGCTAAGCATAGGCAAGCTTTATTTGTTTATAATCACTCAGCCTTGATCTCGATCGATACAATGAGTGGCAAATATATCCCTAGTCGAATTTGAGCCCTTGTTGTTGGCCGTTGCTGCTCGAATTTTCTTTCGACTACATAAAAACCATACACCAAAATTATCAACTTATTCTATGTGACATAATTTGGTTAAAATTCAATTAATAAAAGTTTTACGTGATGTTACGAATTAAAACACCATATACGCTAAGGAACAATAAACCGGTGGACATTGACGAGACAAATTATACGATTTATACCCGAGTGTAGAATAGATTATTATGTAGTCAAAAAAGGTGTACCTTTGCAAGGAACTTCTTCTGGTGACGGTATCCCTGATAAGACATCAGATAGAATAGCATCAAGTAAATCCTAAATTAATCATTGATATAATAGAGGACTAATTGTAAATCCTAAATTAGAATTAATATAGTAACTGAGTTCTAAATCAACAACAAATAAAACAAAACGTAATAATCACCTTATCAGTCCCATAGAGGTAATCACAGTAAGTGAAGAGCGAAGCAAAATTGCTATGGCTTTGTTCTCCAACGTAGTGATGGTAATCATGGTACTCCGTGCCACCATAGAACGGAATATACTTTGTTAGCGCCCATGGAAAGTCATATCTACAACACAACGCGTACATGTCAAATAATCATAAAATTGTTCTTAAAGTTCTTTGGTTAGAGGTTACCAGAGGGGTTAATCGGTCAGGGTTACTTGAGGGATCTCGGTTAGGAACCCCGGTCAAACCAGCCACATAGAAAAATCCCCCAAATAAATTTGATAAGTTATAAGATAAGCAATAATTTTTATTTTTGTAATTTTGCAACACTTCTCTTTTTATGCATGACAATGCATTATTTTAAAATTGATCCAATTAGATCACTCGTGATTGTATTTTTCATTAACTATAAATAATCAATATTAGTCAAAGTGGATTATATGGAGGATTTTATTTACAATTACTACCTACAATTGTTGCTGTTTAAGGAATTACCAGCTATATTTTTTTAATTGAAATTTACCACCTTATTTTATGAAAATGATAAAACTTTCTACCATTTTGAAAGATGACAATAGATGATGTAAAAGTCAAAGTGTTGTAAATACTGTAAAAAACGAAGAAAGTATATTATAAAGACAACACAATGGATTATATGGTAGTATTAAGTACCCATACCCGCTATGAATTTCAATAGCCTGTATGTGTCTTAAGACCATCCACAACAAGAACGTAGTGATATGACCCGGAACAATGGCCAGGCCAAGAAACGCTGGAAACCCAAGGATCAAGATTTCGGACCAATGTGAATAGGGAGCTGCAAAACCAATAGGTGCGGTAAACTCATGATGCACCTTATGAATGTTCTCATACCCCCATTTTGAATGCAAGAGTCTATGAAGCCAATAACTTGTGTAGTCCTCAACTAACATATATACTACTAATTGCATCAACATTTCCCATCCTGATGGCAATGACAATCCTGTCCTTATCCCAATAAACTGCCACAAATCATTATTAATTGATGCAAAGTTAGTAACTTAGTAATCATAAACTAATAACAAGGAAAAGTACAAACTAGTCATCACATATTAATGATAAATACAAAATCTACTCTCACGTGGATTTTTGTTAGGTAATTAATAAAATCGACCGACCTTGTAAGCAGGGTAGGACACCAGTTGAAGCGGACCTACGACGATGAAAAATAAGTTGACAACGGCCGTATAGCAAGACATGATTTCAGCAAATGATAACCTGACTTTAGGCTGGATTTTGTACCGCGCAATCTTGGCCGCGCCAAGAAGCTCGACGATGACGAGAGGTAGAGGCATTACAGTAAAAATGGTGTAGAGGAAGATGATGTTGTGACAATGCAATAAGAAATCTGATTTATTAGTTGAGTAGTTAAACCAAAGAGTTTCTGCAATGGTCAGCGTTCGGTTTAAGGCTGTTTCCGCCTCGCCTATAGTCTCGTAAGGCAACATTGTGGAGCTACAAAGCAAGGCGTGCCGGAGCTTGGTTGTTATTATTTTTCCTTTGGGTTTCTAGGAGGAGATTAGGATGGTTTTATTGTACAAGGATACACTAGCCACAAAGAAATTATCTTACCAAGATAATAGGTGGATACTGGATAGTTATATATACTGCTTTCATATTATTATTATTATTATTATTATTATTATTATTATTATTTTTAAAGTATTACACTTTTTTCGGTACATAGTTTTAGATAATTTAATTGAATTAAATAAAAAATAAAAGGTAAATAAGATAGTTGAAGTATTTAAAAATTGTAAAATAAAAATAGCGGGATTAATGTCATTGAAAAGTAATAAATAATTACAATTTTTACTCGAGTTTCTCGGTCAGGAGTTACTCGAGTTTCTCGGTCAGGGGTTACTTGAGTTGTCAGGATTACTCAAGCTACTCAATTAGAGTTACTCGAGTTGTTGAGATTACTCGAGTAAGTCGGTCCTGGGTTACTTGAGTTACTCTTGACCGGGTAACTCCTCAAGTAACCCTTGACCGAGTAACCCTCAATTAATCTCTTACTAAGGATGACAATAGTAAGTGGATAATATCCGCTAACCTGCTCCACCCGCTTTAAATAAATGGACGAAAATCCGAATTAAATAGACGAGAAGCGGATGTCGGATGAAGCAACTGATGGACCGGAGTGGATGTTGATGATACTTTTTTCACCCGCTAACTATCCACCAACACGTTTAACATACATTAAATATTTTATTTAAAAATTTTAATAATAGAATATGATGAAATGTGGAAGAAAATTACTTGTTTTTTTGTACCAAATTATTTTTTCAAACAATATGTTTTTATGATTTCTTTCTTATTAATAAAATAAAAAAATTTTGTATAAATAACCGAAAATTAGAGTTTACGTGAGTTTTTTTTTCCACTTTAATACTCATCCATTAGTCATCTGCTCCACCGGTTTCATCCGCGGATGATGGATGGACATATATGGATGATGAGTGAAGCGTGTGACGGATGGATGTGGATGGATCAATTAGAATAATGGATGAATGTGGGTGAAGCTTCACCTGATCCAAATCTAATCCGTTGTCATTTGAGTAACTCTTGACTGAACTGTCAAATAACCCCTGACCGAACTCCTTAAGATACCTTGAACGAATTACTCAAGTAACTCCGCCTTGATCGAATTCCTTAAATAACCCTTGACCGAGTAACTCGAGTAACCCTTAACCGAGTAACTCATGACCGAGTAACCCCTAACAGAGTAACTCGAATAATAACAATTGATTGAGTAACTCGAGTAACGCCTAACCGAGTAACCCCTCAAGTAACCCTTGACCGAGTGAACTCCTCGAGTAACCTATGTTCAATCCCTCAAGTAACCCTTGACAGAGTAACTTGAGTAACTCTTGATTGAATAATTCGGGTAACCCCTAACAAAATAACTCGGGTAGCCCCTGCCATACGGTGTGACCTGATGCCCCAAAAAGTTGTTGATGAATAATAATGTGAGAGGAAACAAATAGTAATAAAAAAAAATGGTAGTGTATTTGGATGGTGACCACCAGATAAGTACAATATTAAAAATATACAGAGTAGTTTTTTACCAATTAAAAGGAAATTTAATACTTTAAAACACATCAGTATTTGGTAAGTATAATACTTTAAAAACTGGAGGGAGTATATTGTATACTATATATGTTAAATTCAAAAAAAAAAAAAAAATTAATGAAAAACGATGTTAGCCAGTGCAAATGAATAAATTACACTAATTTAATGATATGCACGCAAACTAGCAAATTTAACACAATTCTTTTACTAGCAAATTAATTAGCATTATATATATGCAGTTATGCACGCAAGTCGCAAACTAGCAAATTTAACACATAATTCTTTTACTAGCAAACTAGCATCATATGCACGCAAACTAGCAAATTTAACAAATAATTCTATTATTAGCAAACTAGTATTATATGCACGCAATACATGCGCTCATTTAAAAATTCTTAATTTAACTACGTTTTTATTTTGAGGATATTTAATTTATCTACTTAATTCTATGTATACATTGAATAAGAGCGAAAAAAATGTTAAAATTAAATTGTCGATGAAAGTAATTAGATATTACTCCCTCCGTTCCTTATTGATAATCTCATATAAGAAATTTTCACGGGAATTAATAAATATATATAAGAATTAGTAAAAGTACATTGAAAATGTAAATTTACATTCGGCATGCAAAAAATTATAGAGAGAGAAAGTAATAAAAAATATGAAAAAACAAAATTACATGGAAAAATTAAATTTGCACAAATACTATTTCAAATTAGATGTAATTTGGGTAAAAATTAATATTAATAGTATTTGAAAAAAGCAAATGTCCCCGAGAACTTAAAATTAGTCATAAGAGACTAACAATAAGGGATGAGGGAGTATTACTTTGCAAATGTGATAGGGGAAGGGTTGGGTGGGATTGTTACTTTAAATAAAATTAAAATAATAGCGAGTGATTGTGCTTTTTTAATACTCCCTCTATCCCCAATTGATAGTTATTTTTGGAGAAAAATCACGGAAATTAACGAGAATTAAAGAAAGTACAATAAAAAAGTAAATTTACATTGGGTATGCAAAAAAGTAGAGAGATAAAGTAATCAAAGTACATGGGAAAGTAAAATTTACATGGGAAAGTTAAATTTGCACAAATATTTTTGCAAATGTTAAAGAATTTTGGTAAAAAAATAATATTAATGGTACTTGAAAAAAGCAAATGTGACTAACATTTTAAGTCACAAAAAATGGCAGAAGTGACTACCAATTGGGACGGAGGGAGTAGTATAGTCTACTTTTTTTTTAGTTACAGAATAACAAATTAAATAGAGTAGAACAAAATTCCAGTGTCGAAATATAAAATCATTATTAAAACTATATCGACTAATCTCTCTCTCTTTTTTCTTTATTAGCTGATAAATTCAATTGAAGATGATTTTGATTGCATAAATTAACTGATATTCTAAAAGATTATATCTGGGTATAAATTGATTGACAACTGCACCGATTAACAATAAAATAATGTAATGTTTTTATTTTTAGACACAAACCAAGTAATTAATTTTTTTCTTTATTTTTTTCCTTATTGATTGATTATTCCTTTTTTAAAAATGATTGATTGTTTTTTTTATACATCTCGTCTTGTGTCTGGCTGGTCACACCGTGTGGTCATTTGTCAAAAATAATCAAATAATGTCTATAATATTGACGGGGTAATCCCCATAACACTGACAGACTACACCTTTTATCACTGATAAATGAACTCCTATTAAAATAACAAAGCAACCCTCGCGTATATTTTCGCGCTGTGCAGCACTAGGAAACGTACATAGTCAGCCTAACTCTAAAGCCTACGAGGTTGAATACCATCGCAAGTCGCAAGTTGCAAGTATTACGTGGAAGCAATAGTTACACAATATAAACTATGCACAAAAGATTACACCGAAGGCAACCATATATTTTATTGATGATTAGACAAAGGTACAAGTGTTTATGTTACGATAAGATTCTATCTGGATGCCTTGGACTGCCCCCAACACTACAATAAAATAAAGCAAAGGTAACAGTGAAAAATCATTGCCTAATATAAAAAAACTGTTGCCTTGTAGCTAAGGCAACACATATGAGGCGTAGTATATGCCCCCGTTGTCTATTCATAAGGCAACACATTTTTATTCAAAGGCAACAATTTTGAAAACCAAGGTAAAATAATACATAAGTCAATACTTTTACAAAGACAACAAATGAAAAATGTTGCTATCTAAGGAGACAGTTCAAAAATGTTTCTAAATGTTGCCACTCCCAAGCATTTAGTAGGTTGTAGGGCTCGAACTTGTGACCTCAAAGTCACAAGGTGACTTCACCACCAACTCCACCATATATATACATACATACATATATATATATATATATATATATATATATATATATATATATATATATATATATATATATCACACTCGCCATAAAAGCAATATCTTAAATTATGTTGTCTTTTTAATATAAATGTTGCCGTAGAGGGCAACGTAGATATTAATGTTACATTTTCAAGCAATAGTTTTGTTATTGTTATCTTTTCATGCAACAATTATTATGTTTGTTGTCTTAGACTAAAAAAAGGTAACACTTTAAGCGACTGTAGCCTTATATATTCTAGAGCAACACTTTTTTCTCTATTACTTTAGTTCAAGGTAACAAATAAATATTGTTGCTTTATATTACTAAGAGTATCATTTCTGTAAGTGTTGCAATCTTAAGTGTTGCCTATTCTCATTTTTTTTTTGTAGTTAAGGTCCTCTATTTATAGGAAAATGGGAGGACAAATCCTTCCCATGGGCGAACAAACACGAGTGTGCATGTATGTCAAGTGGCATGTATGCAACACCTACAATTGGCTAAACTAATAAATAGATAAGCATAACCCATGTAAGCATAACCATCCTTATCCAAAGCATAGCCAAGCAACGCTTCCCCGAAGCATTGCACCTGTTGCCCTAACAGTAGCCTATCACTCACACATAATATATGTCATTCATGCCACCATACGCATCTCACCAACTGAAGCATCCCTTGGTGACCAGCACTGACCTATTAAGGATAACTACCTTCGGCGTGTGCCCAACACACGCATCAAAAAATAGGCACCAAGTAGTCTGACCACACAAGCGTTACTTGTGCATGCTCAACTAATGCACCACTTCACCAAGCATTGCGTCGCTCCACAAGCAACACATAACTTTGCAACCATCGTGATGTTTCGCAAGCATCACGTTGCTTCCCCAAGCAACGCACTGCCTCGTCAATCGACGTGTTGCTTCGCAAGCATCACATTGCTGGGCAAGCGTCGTGTCTCTTCACTCGCTGCATGTTGCTTCGCCCAAGCATCGCAACACTTTCCAAGCACCGCGTCACTTCGCAAGCCATGCACCACAACCAAGCCCCAAGTGACACTTCGTACAAGCCGCACCATAGCGCAGTGTCCAACGGACAACAACCAACAATATGGCTTCAATTCATATAAGCACCATAGCAAGTACA